AAAAGAGAATGTCTCTTTCAACCCTTCTAATCGCCTAACCCTTTTTCTCCCTATTCCTCAGCATTGCCATAATGTGGTTTCCCTTTTTTGGATAGGTAATTGATTTCCATCACCAAAAGGCTGAACCCATCGGTGGCCACCTAAAGTTGGCACCAATTTTCACAAACACCCTAACTAGGCTTTGTTCATTTTAGACACCTCATGTCATGCTCCGCTGTGTCATTTCGATACTTTTTGTTGACTTGGCACATAGTGTGTGTTGCACTAACTCCAAGAGTGTGAATAGCTTCTTTTTTCATGAAATAAATTTTTTCCCTTCTTTTTCTCGACTTGTTCTTCCTTCCACCATCCACCTATTCCCCTACCATCAATAGTGTAGTTTTCATGCGAACTCCATCCTGGGACTACTTTATTAACAATACTCTGTGCCTTCACCTGAGTGACTCTATGCTCAGTAATAGCTAAGAGCCTAAGACTACTAACCTTCGTACTTATTATTTTGGGAAGTCTTTATGTTTATGCAACTTATTAAACCCCCTTACATTCCATGCTGCAATCTTCATTTGGCAATGTTTGACAGGTCTGGGGCCTTAACAACCCCACTAGTGCTGCATGTACTTCTGTCCAACATTTTCATCACTGCCTGGATCATCTGATTTAGGGTAACCTCTTCAAGTTGCTGATACCCATTGATAGTCTCAATAGGCTGAATAGGCATTAGTCCAGCACTCTTTGTAGCAGATTTCCCCTTCACTGCTGTCCATTCCTCTTTCAAGCCAACAGGGGTAGGTACCCGAGCATTCCCATTATCCTTAGTTGATTGTCGCTCAGGTCCCTTTAGTTCTTCACCCCCTTCTTTACTCAACCGTTTTTTGTGAACTTCTTTGGATCAGCTCTAGCCACCTCTTTCTTTTGGACCTCAGCCTCTGGGTCTTGTCCTGGGGTTGCTGGTCCTCCTTGCAATCATGCCCAATCAAACAACATGTTGCACACTGCTGTGGTCTCCAGTCGTACCAAATCTGTTGCTCAAACACCTTCCCTTGTGTATCCATCACTTTGACGGAGTTGGGAAGTGGTATAGTAACATCCATTCTACTAGCAGCCTTGCATATGAGATCCTTTCCATTCTGGTAGTGCATTCATCAGCATACATAGGGGCTCCAAGACTGCTTGCTATTCGACTCAGAGAATTACCCCCAGCATTGTAGTGGTAGATTGAGTAGCTTAGTCCACAATGGTATTGTGTTTAGCACTTCTTCATTAAAGTTGAACTCCTGACTCCAAGGCTTTACTATTACTGGTTTGTTATTTATCATGTGTGGTCCTGTATGCACTATTCTATCCCTCTCACTGATGTTATGGAATTTAATAAAAAAATATCCATCTTTAGGGTAGTAGATGATGGGTTGCTGACAAATGTTCCTTGCCCAGCAATGAATTGAGAAACAACACCTATTGTAGGGGAGTCACCCACTACATATAGTATCATGGCAGCTCTCCAGGCCAGCATTTTCTTATCTACTTCTTCTTTCACTAGTTTTGCCATTTTTACTCCATTTTGGATGACCAAAGTGAAGTAATTGAAATTCATGCCTTTTGATGCCATCGTGTTTCTGTGAAAAGGGTATTCCATGTCTTCTTGTCCCATCCTTTGGGGTTTTGGTTACCCAGCTGGGCAGGGGTGACTCAACATAATTAGAGGCCTAAAATTTAAATAAACTTTATCTGTATTTATTTATTTTTCTAAATTTTTAGATGTAAATTATTACTTAATATCTTTTTTATAAATGATTTTTTAATACATTTTTTAATTATTATTTTTAGGTAAGATTTTATCAATTCAACATTGAAAAACATTATTTTATTGAGACAATTATTATATGAATTGATAACACAATTCTATAAGTAATAAGTTGATAAACATTTAATAAATATAAGAGTTAGAATCATAGAATCTGATTCAAAAGTTGATAAGTGGTATACCCCACTTTAATATGAAAAGTTACGAAATAAAAGAAGAATTTGTAATTCACTTCGTTCAACACTTTTCGACTATTGATTCATATTTTTGACCGAGTAGTACTCTAACTATCAAAGATTTGAAGAAATAGAGTGCAAAATGAGTTAAAAAGGATAAATAATGTGAGAGTTAGCAAAGAAAATGTTTGAATTCAAAATAATGTTTTCTTGATTTCTTCTATTTCAATGGAGATAAGAAGATTAAATATATATATATATATATATAAATGCACTTTTATTATAAATAATTAATTTTTTTTCATGAAAACAATTAATTTTTTTTATTTGTAGAAATTTGAGAAATTTATAGGCAATAGCCGGCACTGCAGCTGGGTATCATTAACATTTCCCAGAGATCTAACAGTTCTCCCTAATCTTTGTCTTCCATCCACCAACTGTATCTTTGTCTGAGAGTCTTGCACTGTTGGCCACTGTTCCATTAAACTCTTCAGTGTCCAGTAGTCTCTTATTTACCTTTGCCAGCTTCACGTCCAGTAGCTGAATAACCTTCGTTGTCCTCCCACGGTCATGGCCGCAGGCCATTTCCGGTGGTGGCGTGCAGAGTTGCACCACTAGTGTGCACCAATCTTATCATGTGCCGAGAGAGAAATGTTATATTTGAATCAACTTCTTTTTTCCTTATCTTACAATGTGGCTTAATACAACAACAATGAAGACAATGCCTCAATACCAAACTAGTTGGATTGACTATATGACCTAATTATACTGTTTCCCTTTAGCCACAATTACTTGATATCAGCTTGACAAGTGTCTTTACTTTCACTAAAATCAGGTTGGTTGGTGAGTGGCGAGCGATTTGCTGATTATATGACCCTTACATGTACACAATGCTAGTTGTCACCCCAACATTGTTTAGGTTATCTATCCAATATGTTGCGCATGTCATGTGCCCGTTTAATTTTAATTGCTTTAAGAAAACCTTGCATTTTTTATAAAATTATCTAAATCTATTTTCCCCTCTTGTTTTGATTAATTTTGGGTGTTTAAGTTTGCTCGGTGAGCATATTTAATCTGCTTTCCATTTTATTGTCTCACATTTATCCTCTCCTTTTATTCGAAAGAAATCTGTTTCTTTTTTTTTGAAAATGGTAACGATGTATTATATCACAAAAGTACATGGGTTGTACTCAAACCTTATATACAGATGCACTCTAGACACTCCTACTCTATTTCTATATTGAGTCTAGAACATCAACTATAGAGACAGTGTCATTTGAGTATAATTGATTACACCAAAAACATAACAACAAAATGCAGTTTAGTTTAACATCCTGCACACTATTTTCTATGCCTTCAAAACATCTGGAATTCCTTTCTTTCCAGATTGCCCACCATATTGAAGCAGGGATAATTCTCCATCTAGTTCTGTCTTTTGCAAGGGCACCTGCCTCCTCCCAGCTGTACAAGGCCTCAGTAACTCTCCTAGGCATAGTCCAGGATATGCCTTTAAGGCTCAAGAAAATTAAAACCAGTGCATCTAGTACTGTCTTTTGCAAGGGCACCAGTGCAGTTTTTCATAAAACTGCACTGGAATCTAGTTCTGTTTCTTGTTACAATGTTGTTGAATTTGTTACAGCTCAACTCTTATCCATGCAAAATAGATAGATTGTGCTGTATCTAAAGCTAGCAACAGATGAACCTTTTTTCTCCATGAATGCTCTGCATGTGCATCATAATTTGGGGTTCTTTTTCATAAAACTGCACTGGAATTGAGTATGAAGTAGCTCCAACATTCTGTTGATAATCATGAATTGAGAAAAATAAGATTATGGAATGTTTATTACATGAGAGGATAACACCCCACTTGGCACTACTATTTGACTAGGCTTCTCCATGGAAAGCTCTTGAGAAAGCCATGGGAAATCTGAAGAAGGAAAAGTCAGTTGAGGATTTATTGAAGCAACAGATTGAAAAACAAGAATACTTTGACGGAGGAGATGGTGGTGGAGATCATCCAGGTGGTGGCGGTGGAGGTGGTGATGACGCTTCTGGTGGAGCAGAGGATGAAGGCATTCCAGGGATCTTGGATGAGCTAGGACAAGTAGTCTTGGCAACTATGGGCTTCATATGTTTGGTACTTCTCCTCTCTCTCTCCCCACCCCTCCAAATTTTGTCTGCAGATATGTGTGTACTTCTGGAGCTCACTGTTTATATCTGTATTACCCTATAAGGCAATCCTTGCAGCTGGCTGAAATTCACGTTGCAGGTTTACTTAACTGGCGATTTGTTATGCTGCCCGCTTCTCCAAAATTATTTATAACTTAACTGAATACCTTTTGTCTAGACCATTTCTGGTAAGTCATGGACCAATGAGTGACCGACTAAATAAAGAGAAACAGATTATGATAATTATGTACTCTATGTTTAGCCTTTGTTAGATCTTGCGCCTGAACTCTCTTCTGATGGGAGTGGTAGACTTCAAATAAAGAAAATGTCTTGAAAGGTTTTCAAACCAACCACTAGTACTGTCTGATTGTTATAGTATAGTTTGCTTCCTGTGGACTGCTTAACAAACTGAAAAATCGCTGTATTTCCTTTGATTTCAGTATATCTACATAATTGAAAGCGAGGAGATCACAGTGTTTGCAAAGGATATTCTCAAGTTTATCTTTCTAAGGCAAAAGAGTATTCGTCTTGGGCGCACAATAGCACGGTGGGAAAGCTACTTCAAAAGCCTGAGTGAGAAAGAAGTAGATCCATATTGGTTGGAAAGTGAGATTCTTAATACTACTACTTGGTACGACGGCCCCACAAAGTATAGACGCATTCTCAGACGGTTGCAATCCGATTCTGATTATTGATAGGGAACCTTTTCTCTGTGCTGTCAAATTTTGTACTGGTTTAAACAGTTTCTTGTTGCCTGTTTGAGTAAGAGTATGAAAGAAGAAAAGGGAAAAAACGTTCATTCATGTAGAATTTCTTGTCATTTGTATTTTTATTTTAGCTTTTCGTATTTGGTGATGAGGTATGATTCATGGATCATTCAGTTAAAGAATATTGTGTTTGATGAAATGTTGCATAACACGTTAACTTTTATGTGAAAAGATTTAATAGTCCTATCAAGAAAAAGAAAGGAGAATAGAATTAACACCATATAATATTCTTCATCGATTATCTCACCTATCAATTAGACAAAGAACCAGTTAAACAAAAGGACAACAATTGTAAACCCCCTTCCCTTTTCTTTTTTTGTTTGTTAAAGAGTTCATAAACATGTAATATGAGACTCTGACTCACTTCAACAGAATTAAAATTGATTGTATCACAAAAAAGAAAGATATACATTCTAGACTTTTATCAAGGAAAAAAAGGATGGCATGCGTGTAGAAGGAAACTTTTACCTAGATTTCTTATTGTTTTCTATAATAATCATCAAACACAAACTTTTACCTCGATCTCTTCACAAACACTATTAAAATCGATAATGGAGGAAAAAGGAAAAGTCAGTTGAGGATTTATTGAAGCAACAGATTGAAAAACAAGAATACTTTGACGGAGGAGATGGTGGTGGAGATCATCCAGGTGGTGGCGGTGGAGGTGGTGATGACGCTTCTGGTGGAGCAGAGGATGAAGGCATTCCAGGGATCTTGGATGAGCTAGGACAAGTAGTCTTGGCAACTATGGGCTTCATTTGTTTGGTACTTCTCCTTTCTCTCTCTCTCTCCCAACCCCTCCAAATTTTGTCCGCAGATATGTGTGTACTTCTGGAGCTCACTGTTTATATCTGTATTACCCTATAAGGCAATCCTTGCAGCTGGCTGAAATTCACGTTGCAGGTTTACTTAACTGGCGATTTGTTATGCTGCCCGCTTCTCCAAAATTATTTATAACTTAACTGAATACCTTTTGTCTAGACCATTTCTGGTAAGTCATGGACCAATGAGTGACCGACTAAATAAAGAGAAACAGATTATGATAATTATGTACTCTATGTTTAGCCTTTGTTAGATCTTGCGCCTGAACTCTCTTCTGATGGGAGTGGTAGACTTCAAATAAAGAAAATGTCTTGAAAGGTTTTCAAACCAACCACTAGTACTGTCTGATTGTTATAGTATAGTTTGCTTCCTGTGGACTGCTTAACAAACTGAAAAATCGCTGTATTTCCTTTGATTTCAGTATATCTACATAATTGAAAGCGAGGAGATCACAGTGTTTGCAAAGGATATTCTCAAGTTTATCTTTCTAAGGCAGAAGAGTATTCGTCTTGGGCGCACAATAGCACGGTGGGAAAGCTACTTCAAAAGCCTGAGTGAGAAAGAAGTAGATCCATATTGGTTGGAAAGTGAGATTCTTAATACTACTACTTGGTACGACGGCCCCACAAAGTATAGACGCATTCTCAGACGGTTGCAATCCGATTCTGATTATTGATAGGGAACCTTTTCTCTGTGCTGTCAAATTTTGTACTGGTTTAAACAGTTTCTTGTTGCCTGTTTGAGTAAGAGTATGAATGAAGAACAGGGAAAAAACGTTCATTCATGTAGAATTTCTTGTCATTTGTATTTTTATTTTAGCTTTTCGTATTTGGTGATGAGGTATGATTCATGGATCATTCAGTTAAAGAATATTGTGTTTGATGAAATGTTGCATAACACGTTAACTTTTATGTGAAAAGATTTAATAGTCCTATCAAGAAAAAGAAAGGAGAATAGAATTAACACCATATAATATTCTTCATCGATTATCTCACCTATCAATTAGACAAAGAACCAGTTAAACAAAAGGACAACAATTGTAAACCCCCTTCCCTTTTCTTTTTTTGTTTGTTAAAGAGTTCATAAACATGTAATATGAGACTCTGACTCACTTCAACAGAATTAAAATTGATTGTATCACAAAAAAGAAAGATATACATTCTAGACTTTTATCAAGGAAAAAAAGGATGGCATGCGTGTAGAAGGAAACTTTTACCTAGATTTCTTATTGTTTTCTATAATAATCATCAAACACAAACTTTTACCTCGATCTCTTCACAAACACTATTAAAATCGATAATGGAGGAAATATTGAGTCAGAAGGTTAGATACACCATTGAGACTACTATGATACTAAATTATGGTTGTATTTATTTTGTATCTACAATTAACTGCAGTCAAACACGCAGAAGTGTTCATTTTACCTTAATTTCATTTTTTAATCGTTTAAAGCAAACTTTTACCCGATCTCTCTACAAACACTATTAAAATCGATAATGGAGGAAAGATGAACTCATAAGGGTTAGATACACCCATTGAGACTACTAAGATACTAAATAATGATTGGCTTTTTTGTTGGTTGAATATCAGAAGACTCCTCTTAATCTGGACATGAATTAGGAAAAATCACTCCATATACACATTTAAGAGTAAATACTACGAGTTTTAAACCTACTTTTAAAAATTTCTTGATTATAACAGAATATTTACTGGTTATGACATATCAGTTAAAATTATTTTTATTTTTATTTTAAATTATATTTATTTAATAAATCATTAATATATTTATAGGTTTTTAATATTAATTAATAATACGTAATTAATTTGTTTTTTACTTCCTTTTTAAAAAAAAATGTCAGTTACCCAAATTTAGGGATTTACTCAATATCTTTTCCTTGT